CTATTCGTGATATAGCACTTATGTTCGTTATCTCATATATACTAATTATAATGTTTATGCTTATTATACTGATTATACTGTTCATACTGATTATTTTACTTATACCCTTGATCCCGCTGATTCCCTTTATCCCACTGATATCAACTATCAACCCAACACTAAGTATACAACGAATACAGTGTATACTGCCGGTAAACCCATTTAAGGTAGGTGATCGACATAGCTGTTTATTCGTTACTGCGCCACATCGATCACCTGCTTTAATGAGCTTCCGGCACCGCCTTCCTACCGCTCACACTAGGCGTGTTTGCTTTGGCCGGTGGTTTTATCCGTAGGTAAGTACTGGTCTCCTCTTTGAGTCTTTCCTTCAATCTTTTCTTGTACTAATTCTTATCTTCTCTTGTATGCTTCAACCCGGGATTACACTACGTCGAATCGGGGTTGGAACTCCTCTTACGTTAACGGCCTTGATCACGTGACTTGCGGCGAACGATCAAAGTGCGGTTTAGTGGTTTACGAATGAACATTAGTTGATAAAGATGAGCTTAACGACAGTTTATTAGTTTGGATAGAGAATTACTTTCACTTTTATTAATGGACAGGTACTTGATTATAAGGGACGTTTCTCCCTTTCCCCAAGGCAAAAATGCCCTTTATTTATACTAAACGGTTTTATTTACATTGGTAATTAATTTCGGTCATAAATGTAATATCTTTCTTATACTCTATATCTTAACTAAATCTAATAAAAGGTCGATATTACATTTATCATATATGTAACCGAAGTAGCAGATGTAACGGAAGTAATGAAGTAAGAAAAGTAACAGAAGTGTTGTTCGGAATTTCGGTAAGTCTGTCACAACTAGTGATGTGCCATTTATATGATGCTCAGATTTTTTTAGCGTACAGTATGTACAGTACGTATAGTATGTATTAGTATAAATTTTTTATATCATGGTTTCGGAATATTCCGTAATCATTTCGGAATTGTTAGGAACTTATAAATGTTATGACATAAACTTTTGGAACTTATAAAATAACTGTCAAAATTTTAGCATATAGTAAGTGGCACATTACAACTTATACTTTAACTATTTATGCAAGACAATGTTGGACGTACATAGTTGTTATTTTTTAGAATAGTATAGAGAACATACAGCTAGAGATGGGCAAATTGCAGTTTTTCAAAAAATCCTGTGTGTGACACACAGGATTCATTAAGCCACAAATTCTCAAACCCTAATTTTACTTCATGAGCAGTCACAATTTCTTTACTAAAAATTACATGTTATATTTATTTTTAAAAGAGTGACTTAATCATAAAGAATATTTTTGTAATGTAAGTAAAAGATATCAATGGCAAAAAAAGGACATATAGTACTTATTTATAAAAAATTAAGATTATATAATAAAGTTTATTTAATATTTATGTTTTTAGTTTTTTTTAATATTAGTTTAGATTATAATTAATATAGAGATTTGTTAATGTCACCTTCTACTTTTGCTAATATCACTTCAGTAAATTTTTGATCATTATCATTAGCTAATCAAAATAATGAATTTGTATATATTTTTTACAAAGTTTAATAACAGTAATTACATTAAGCACATCTTTAAAGGTTTCATCGGATCCAATTTTTGTAAGATGATTTCAAATATCATTATTATTATGCAAAATATTTAATCTCTAACCTTTCAGACTCTAATTATTAATTAGAGTTAGATTCTGTAAAGGGTGACATTAACAAAAATAGGAGTGGTATTAACAAGTCTTTTAATATAATGTTAGAAATTTATAATTTATTTGTATAAAAAATTTAGTATAAATATATTGGAACAAAAAATATATATATAGTATAATTAGCAATACAAATATTATAATAATTAATATTAATAATTTTAATTAAATATTAAATATTGTATATTTTTTATTTTAATCATTTTAAATATAGATTTGATTTTATTTAAAATTTTATTTTATTTAATATTTATATAAATACATAGTTATAAAAGATAAAATTTATAATTTATATAAATATATAATTATATCTATGTTAAAAAAAAAAACCTTAATATATTTAAGAAAAAATTCTTAATAAGATATAATTATATATTTTTGCTAAATGTTTTTTATTTTAGTCTAATTCATTATTTTCCATATTTTCATCACAAATTATATTTTCATTTTTTATTTCATTAATTTGTTCTTCTTCATTATTACTTATTTCTTCATTATCATAATTTTCATCTTCATTGTTACTTTTATTCCAATTATCAAATATATTATTAAAATTTTCATTTTCATAATTATTTTTTTTTTCAATTTGTATTAACTTTAGTTTATGATTTGTAAAAACATAAACAAGTTTAAAAACTTTATCTAATGTTAATCGATTTCTTTTAATATTATATATAAAACTAAATGCTGACTAATTATGTTCTGAAGATGCTAAAGATGTCAGAATTGTAAATATACGTTGTGCTAATTTGCAGAGTTTAGAAGCTAAAGTTTAAAATTACCATTCCACCAAGTTATTGAATCAACTTTATTTACAGTTTTCCAAGCAAGTTGATTTTGAAAAGGTCCAGTTTGTGATTTATATTGAAGTATTTGTGTATAAATTTCTTCTGCATCATCTAAATAATATTGTTCTAAAAAATCAGATATAATTGACATTCCATCTTCTTCAAGATTACAACCAACAAACTTAGGATCTAATAAATATACAACTTCCATAACTGGATAATACATTTTAGTCCATCTTTCAGATAAAATATCTAAAATATTATTACAAACTTCATTAGAAAATTGTTGAATACCTAAATATAAATAATTTAAAATTTAAAATTAATTTAAATAAAATATAATTATAATAATTTTTTAAAATATAATAATTAATAAAAATCCAAATTTTTTAATATATAATAACTGTATAATAATTATATTATATTTATATAATTACTATTACAGTTATATAAAATTATTTAATTAGTTTTTATAATTTAATCAAATTAAAATTTAAAAACTTTTAAATAAAATTTTATATATAAATTTTTTTTAAAAAATCTAGTCAGTTAAGTTTATTTAAAAGTTTTATAATAAAACCAAGTAATTAAATTTATATAATTTAAATTTAATAATAATTATATAATTATTATATAATTATTATATATTAAAAAATTTTAAATTTTTGTAAAATATTCAATTAATAAATTACTTACATTCTAATGATAATATTTTATCATACCATTCATAAAATTCTGATAATTTTGGTATATCACTTTCAAAAAGAGAAATTCCTATTGCAAGTTATTCTAATAATTTAAAGTGATTTAAGTTCATTCCAAAAATTTTCATCATAAATATATAGTTTAATTTCATTATCTATTTCAATAGTATTATTACTAATAATTTCAGTAATAGTAAGACTTAAAGCTAATTGATTCTTATATACAGAATCTAAACAACTTGTTGCTGAATACTAGCGAGTTTTAATAGGAAGCTTTAATGACTTATAATTAGAACCATATTTTTCTTTTTGATATTTTTTTAAAATAGCAGTTGGAATAATATGATTATGAAAAAAAATAACAATTTTTTTTGCTTTTTCAAGAATAGTTTTAGCCCATTCAATTTTCATAATATCACCAATTAAAAGATTTATTCCATGAGCTAAACATCCAAAAAATATAATTAAAGGATACTTTTTTTCTAAAATTTTCCAGGCTGCTTTTATTACTGATGCATTATCAGTAATAATAGCTGAAACTTTTATACTATTAATAGACAATATAGCTTTTTCAATTTCACTAGCAATATTAATTGCATTTTGTTGAATTTGTTCAGTAGGTTTTGCAGATATAAATACAGGAGTTGGAGTAGTAAATATAATATTTGTCCAATGTTCATTATTTAAATTAGACCTAAATAAATTAATATAAAACAATT